CGTCGCAAATTGAGTGTTTTGCGCGTTTGAAGCGACTTGCTCGAGTCCGAAAATCTGAACTTCAGCGGACATTCGTGCCGCGTTAACCAATAAGGAGCTTGCTCTTGTGGGGGTGTGATTGTGACGTATCGCCTGTTGTGGGTGTCCCAAGGGAAATCCTCCAGCGGACACCGACAAGAGGTTCATCAAACTGGGCTGGGCTCAGTCAGAAAGCACCGCTGAAAACCTCCATCAGCCAAGTTAAGTTTCTGGAGGAGTTTATGAGCTCACAGAGCTGCATGCACCTCTGAAAGGATGTAGTGGACTCAGACACGACCCTAAACATATCGACGCTGTTTTACAGCCTTCATAAAGCACATAAGCACTGTTATTTTCTATAGAAAATCTATGTTAGCCATTTAGCTATGAAGCAAGGGCAGATGGAAGCCCTGCCCATCATGCGAGTCCGCGTCTGTTCTGAAGTGAATTTGACATGCGAATAAAGCTGATTTGACGCGCGAATATTTGGAAAGTATAGGTGGCTCTGGCGACGCAGTGGGTAGCACGTTTGCCTCACAGCAAGAAGGTCGCTGGTTCAATCCTCGGCTAGGTCAGTTGGTGTTTCTGTGTGGAGTTTCCATGTTCTCCCTGCATTCACGTGGGTTTCCCCCAGGTGCTCCGGTTTCCCCCACAGTCAGAAGACTTGTAGTACAGGTGAATTGGGTATGCTAAATTGTCCGTAGTGTATGAGTGTGTGTGTATGTTTCCCAGAGATGGGTTGCAGCTGGAAGGGCATCCGCTGCGTAAAAACTTGCTGGATAAGTTGGCGGTTCATTCTGCTGTGGCGACCCCTGATTAATAAAGGGACTAAGACGACAAGAAAAATAATGAATGAAAATAGGTTGCTCTAGATGCTTATGGGCATAAGTCCAGCTGAATCTGAAAACTGAAATCTTTCTGCGCAAACTGATAGTCAGAGAGGCTACTATATATATATATATATATATATATATATATATATATATATATTATAGCTCATGATGTGCTTATTACAGGACAAGGAGAGACTAGAAACAGCAAAAAGAGACCACAATGAAAAATTCAAAGCATCCTTGACTCAATGTAGAAAGAAAAGTATCAAATTAAATGCAGACAAGTTTAAACTGTGATCAAGAAAGGTTTCCTACTTAGGACACCTGTTGACAGTGGATAAACTAAAAATCGACAAAGAAAAAGTTAGAGCAATAACACATATGCCTAGACCAATGGATGTGAAAGGTGTTTTTAAAGACTATTGGGAATGGTTAGTTATCTCTTAATGTTTTGTGCACATTTTTCAGATCATTGTGAAGTTTAGAGACATCTGATGCACAAAGAGTGAATGGAATTACAACAGGAAGAGGCATTCAGCAAAATAAAGAAAACCATTGCAAAGCAACAGGACTGTCCAATACGACGCCTCAGACACAGGTGTTGGTGTTGCACTCGTGCAGAAAGGTAGGCCAATAGCATATGCCAGTAACACACAGAATGTGCTTACGCACTTTTCAGCATGGAAAAATTCTATCATTACACTTATGGGCGGAAAGTGACAGTACAAAATAATCATAAACCACTAGAAAACATCCTTCATAAGCCGCTGCTGAGTGCTTTAAAAAGACTCAGAAGAATGGTGCTGAGACAAAAATATGATGTTGGTGTTGTGTATGTTTCAGGTCATGACATGCTGCTTGCCGACACTTTAGGAAGAGCATACTTGCCTGAGAGTGTTGCTGAGATAGAAACAATCAACATGACACAGCACTTACCAATTTCAGATGACAGACTCTCAAACATTCGTTCCGTAACAAAAGATGACAAAACAGGAGTTAACAGGATGAAAGTTGAATGAGCTGTTGTTGCTGCTAAACTGTGCTTAGATAACAATGTATACACTCTTCTCACATCAGAGTAGAAGGACAAATTTGTGCAAAGATGTGACCCATGTCATTCAGTCGATTGTAACCAGCAGTTGAAGACACTAATTCCACCAAACAGACCCTCAGTCAAGGTTGGCATAGAATTGTTTAGTTTTGACAAAAAGATTTAAAAATAGTAGATTATTACTCCAATTTCTGGCAAATAAACTATTTGCAGGACACTAAATCAACTACAGTATTCAAAAAGCTGAAAGCACATTTTATCTGTAAAGGCATTCCAGACACTGTATTTTCAGATAATGGCCAGCAGTTCTCATCTCAAGCATTTTAGAATTTTAGTCACCATTGGGAATTTACAAGACTTCACCCCCTGGATAACCTTAAAGTAATAGTAAGGCAGAAGCGGCTGTTAAAATGGACAAGAGACTTATGCTGAAAGCACAAACATCAAGGCAGGACCCATATTTAGCTATCCTGGACCACAGAGATTATTAACCAGTCCGGCTCAGAGACCACCCAGCAGGCACACAATATCATAAGAAATTAATATTAGGTTAGATTGATGCCCTGACATCAGGTAACCATAATTCAATAATAATTCTAGCCAGCGTCTAAAGACAATGTTATTTTGACATCCAATGACGGCATCAAAAGACGTTGATATTTGGTTGATTTTAGGTTGTGTTGGAAAGTGAAAAAAAATTTTTTTTTTAATTAGAATGTGCAAAAAGGTACATAAATTGGAATCATACAAATAAAAAAAAAAACATCAACAAAAAACAATAACAAAACAACAACAAAAAACAAAACCAATATAGTCAGGTACTGTTAGGTGTGTGTCTGTGTGTGTGTGTGTGTCCATGTAAAGGTAACTTGGTGGAAAGGTCAGATTACATACATTAGGAACAATATCAGCCAATAAATGAAGCAAGTATCGTAGATATAAGTAAAACAGAAAGAAACCAGTCAGAGTTAGGGAGTAACAACAATGCTTAGTAATGTATGATAGTAATAATGACAGTAAAAAGAAAGGACAACAGTAGTAATAACTGACAATAATAATAAATCACAAGTACTACACCAACTACTACTACAGAAAGTTACTTATATTACAACTACTACTGCTGCTACTACAGTCACAGCCACGACTAGTACTACTATAATGTCTACTACTGCTGATACTACCACAACAATGACTACCAATACTGATACTACTACAGCGTCTGCTACAACTAATATAACGTCTACTACTACTACAACCGCAATCACTGCTACTACTACAATGACTACTACTACAACACCTACTACTGCTACAATGACACCTTTATTACTTCTGCTACCACTATACCAACTTCATCAACTACTACAGGAACTAATACTTCAATAATCACAATTACAATCGATACTACTACAATGACTACTACTACTACACCAACAACGACTACTACTACTACTGCAACAACAACACCTTTACTACTTCTGCTACCACTATACCAACGACAAGTGACCAAAATCTAACGTTGAGCCAACACCTAAAACCATCATCATATTGTCATCAAGTACTGGCATTTATTTGTCAACCAAAATCCAACATCTGATAGATGTCAATGTCACAGTCCCACAATGAAGACAAGGATGATTATTTTATTCCATCAATTTTCAAACACAGTGGATTGTTCAACAGGAGAAGCAGGTAAGTGATATTCTTGGATAGAGAGCAGACTACTATGTTGTTCACAATGTAAACAAGGATCTTTATTCAACCATCTGAGTATAAAGTCACTTCCCTTAATCACAGCTTGTGCATCTACATGGTAAGGAAAACATCCATAGGAGAAGGGAAACACCCACTGTAGAAGGCAAGCCAGGGAGAAGGTGAGGTGAACCATTTGACTTCGTTTCCAGCCGTTGTACAACTGGAAATTGGGAGGCTTTATAGGGGACTGTGATTGCTGGTGCAGGTGAGTGTAATTAGTATTCAGGTGAGAGTGCTCTGGTGTGATGATAGGTGGCTGGTAAAGGAGAGCGATGATTGGAACTTGATGGTGAGGGAGAATGGTGATTGGAGCAGCAGTAACAAGTCAGGGATGTGACAGTCATAGTGGTAACATCCACACAACATCGTGCTTCAACATTATCATGCTGTGTTCATACCAGACGCGGAACGCGTGGATAAATCGCGTGGCGTGAACATTTGAGTTTACTCACTTCATTCGCGTGTCAAACCCCGCTTCATTCGGGCTTGAAATACGCTTCATTCGTGTGTCAAATTCACTTCATATCAGACGCGGAATGAGGAATGATCACAAAAGTGCAAAAAATCCAAGTGCAGCAATTTATTATAACAAAGACTAAGGTTTCCAAAAGACAAAGGTTTCCAAACTTGAACAGAACTAAAGCAGGATGCAAATCTAGTCCAAACAAGAGAACAGGCAAAAATCCAAAAACGAGTAAATACAAAAAACAGGGTAGGTGTGCTAAAGAGTGCTAACGAAAACAAACACAAAACAGGAATCCAAGAATTATCAAAATACAAGAAACTAGATGACCAGACAAGCATACCAAACGTGAGGCGCTAACAAAATCCTAAGGCAACTAAAACAGAGGACAAGAGGGTTTATAAAGACAGGACTAAATTAACAAACACAAAACAGCTGTAACATAACACAATCAGTAATACAAAGGATTATGGGAAATGAAGTGAAACTACAAAACAAACTAGTGCCCTCAAGTGTCCAAACTAGGGTACTGCAACAGGTGTGACATTACCCCCGCTCAAAGGGAGTGGATTCCAGACACTCCCACTTGATCTCTTAACTAGGAGGGAGGTGGAATGGAGGTTGACCAGGGGGAGGGATGGTGGGTCAAACATACATAAACTATAACATGCATGGAAACAAGGTGGAACCATACAAGCCAAGGTGAAGTCCATGAAAGAAGTGAGCAAGTGAGCTTTGAAGATGTGATGCCCAAACTAAAGGCCACCATAGTGGTACAAATGCGGGAATTGGTGGCCAGCCTAAGGTATAAGGCCACCCAGACAGTGATGAATTAAACTTTGGTCTGTTTGGAACAAAAGTTTGTTTTGGTGGCAAGGGCCTTCTCAGCTTAGGAAGAGGCTTACCCCTAGATCTGGGTTGTGAAATGGGCGAGGGCTCACCGGCGCTTGAGGGCGAGGGCTCACCGGCGCTTGAGGGGCGAGGGCTCACCGGCGCTTGAGGGCGAGGGCTCACCGGCGCTTGGGGGCGAGGGCTCACCGGCGCTTGAGGGCGAGGGCTCACCGGCGCTTGAGGGCGAGGGCTCACCGGCGCTTGAGGGCGAAGGCTCACCGGCGCTTGAGGACGAAGGCTCACCGGCGCTTGAGGACGAAGGCTCACCGGCGCTTGAGGACGAAGGCTCACCGGCGCTTGAGGGCGAGGGCTCACCGGCGCTTGAGGGCGAGGGCTCACCGGCGCTTGAGGGCGAGGGCTCACCGGCGCTTGAGGGCGAGGGCTGACCGGCGCTTGAGGGCGAGGGCTCACCGGCGCTTGAGGACGAAGGCTCACCGGCGCTTGAGGACGAAGGCTCACCGGCGCTTGATGCTGAGGGCTCACCGGCGCTTGATGCTGAGGGCTCACTGCCGCTTGATGCTGAGGGCTCACCGGCGCTTGATGCTGAGGGCTCACCGGCGCTTGATGCTGAGGGCTCACCGGCGCTTGATGCTGAGGGCTCACCGGCGCTTGATGCTGAGGGCTCACCAGCTCTTGAGGACGAAGGCTCAAAGAAACTTAAAAATGAAGACTGAATAATATTAGAAAAATAAGGTTCAATGAGTCTAGAAACAGAATCAGAAAAAATGGAGAACAGTTCAAAAGCAATGGAGGATGAGGACTCAAAAATGATTTCTGGAGCAGAGACTAAACTGGCAGTCATTTCAGGCTGAATACTTAAATGAGCAGGAATACTGGACAAAAGGTCTGAACTGCTGATCCCCTCGGGCAAAGGCTGGAAGGTTGTGACAATCCTGGGCAAAAAATCTGGAGTAATGGCTATCTTACTGAAAGGTTCATGACTAGCAGATCTCTTGAGGAAAGCCTCTATGTCATCAGCCATCATCGAAAGGGGTCCTGGAGAAACATTTAACTCAATCAAATTCTCTGGACTAGTGATCACTGTAGGCTGAAATCCTAAAGGATCAATTGATTTAGGCAGAGACTTGACACTGGCCAGAATATTAGAGAGAGTGTCAAAACATTCAACAGCCTCAGTGACACACTCTGGGATGATTGTTGTTTGAAGTGGAGATCTGGGGGTGACTTCAATTTTTGAAAAAGAATCAAGCTCAAAACTATTACTCTTAAGGTGTATAACAAAATCCCAAAATTGAGCAATCATCAGACCTTCCATCCCTTTCCTAGATAAAGGATGATCCAGACATTGATTAAAAATGTTGATAAGTTCATAGTCAGACAGTCTCAGTCCCACTGACAAGGTCCAAAATGACTGGGCAAAGGCTCCTACCTCCAAATCCTGTTGGCGTTCTGCCATCAATGCCTGGAGACGAAGTAATCGCTCCTTCTCGTTTGCAGGGGAAAGAATCTTGAAACTCATCCTCCCCAAAAAAATGTAAAAAAAAAAAAAATGTATTTTGCTGCTGGATTTAAAGTGGCCTTAGGATTATGTCACGAAATGGGGAATGATCACAAAAGTGCAAAAAATCCAAGTGCAGCAATTTATTATAACAAAGACTAAGGTTTCCAAAAGACAAAGGTTTCCAAACTTGAACAGAACTAAAGCAGGATGCAAATCTAGTCCAAACAAGAGAACAGGCAAAAATCCAAAAACGAGTAAATACAAAAAAACAGGGTAGGTGTGCTAAAGAGTGCTAACGAAAACAAACACAAAACAGGAATCCAAGAATTATCAAAATACAAGAAACTAGATGACCAGACAAGCATACCAAACGTGAGGCGCTAACAAAATCCTAAGGCAACTAAAACAGAGGACAAGAGGGTTTATAAAGACAGGACTAAATTAACAAACACAAAACAGCTGTAACATAACACAATCAGTAATACAAAGGATTATGGGAAATGAAGTGAAACTACAAAACAAACTAGTGCCCTCAAGTGTCCAAACTAGGGCACTGCAACAGGTGTGACACAGCGTCGTTACGTTTAGGGTCCTGTCTGTGTCCACTACATCCTTTCAGAGGTGCATCCAGCTCTGTGAGCTCATAAATTCCTTCAGAAACTGAACCTGGATGACGGAGACTTTCAGCGATGCCCCTGACTGAGCCAAGCCCAGTTTGAAGACTTTTTGTCGGTGTCGCCTGGAGGATTTCCCCTGGGACACCATCAACAGGTTCTACGTCTTAATTACGCCCCCACAAGAGCAAGCTTCTGATTGGTTAACGCGACGCGAATGTCCGCTGAAGTTCAGATTTTCGAACTCGAGAGATTCGCGCAAAACGCTCGTTAAGCGTGTCAAACGCGCAAGACGCTCAATTCGCCTCACGCGTATCGTGCTATTCGCACCGCGCCATTCGTGCAATTCTCGTCATTCGCTCCGCGCCATTCACGCGTATTGCGCCGCAGGATATCTATTCGCGCGTTCGCATTGACTTAACATGTATATCACTCGCGCTTGATGCGCGTTCCGCGTCTGGTGTGAACGCAGCATCAGACCTTAATATTTGTTTGAATTTAGGTTGAATGTTGGACATTGATGTTGGCTCGACGTTCTGACGTCCACTTGATTTACATTTCCAAACAAAATGTAACATCCCCATGTTGTTAAAGTACAACATCAATCTGATGTCATGTCGATGTCCTTTACCTGCTGGGTATTTAGCACATGAACGGGAAGACATTACCACCCAAAAAAATCTGTCTTCTGCACCCAAAAGTTCAAAATGTCTTAAGGGAAATATAAGCCAATATGTATCATCAACAAAACTACTGTGACAGGTCAGCTAAGGACCTGAGCACACTGAAGCAATGGGACATTGTGAGAGTCCAACCATTTGAGCTCTATGCGATGTTGAAAAAAGGCACAGCGCTGGAGAACGTTGACCCGAGAACCTATAAAGTCCAGTTAGACTCTGGTGATGTAATTAGTCGAATCAGAAGACACCTCAAGAAGGCCTGTGAGATGATACTTACGAACAAAACAGAGACCGTTCATTCTAATGATGCCAAACACATCAATGTAGCTGGCAGTCTTTCAACGCTTACCATCTATGCAGAAAACCAGATGCAAAGAGCAGACAAATTTGTTGCATCACCTGTCATCACAAAGCAGGACATATCAACAAATTAATACCTAAAGGACTATGTTGCATGAAAAAAGGGAAGAAAAGGAGGAAGAAGACAGGGCCATTTGAAATTCAATAAGCATTGGGTATTGTCATTTAAGTCTGTTTAAATTACAGCAAAAATTACATGCTAGTGGGTTATGTTTTTTCAAGTGAACATTCTTGAAAAAGAATGTGACAATAGGAACTATTGACATCTGTATTGTTGAAGAGGGAACCTATTTAAGTGTTGCAAGGTCAATGTTGTGTGTGGCAGTGAAGTGAACAGTTGTGTGAAAGGAACTTGACAGTTATCGTGGTGTCAGCAGATCTCTATATTTTGGTGGCTGGGAAGTGCAAAACAGCATTACAAATTAAGAAACACTTTTACGGAGCTCAAGACCAATTTACATTTTTGTAAACATTTTTACCTATCATAAGACACAATTACATAGGAAAAACAATTTTACCAAGAGGCCAAAAAAAATTACGTTTTAGAAAAAAAATTAACAAGACGCAAAAGACTTTTACCAGTCCCAAAACAAATTTACAATGACAGATTCTTTACGGAAAGGGAATGTACCACACACCGGAAGTTGCTGGTAATAGTCTGGATGGTCCTTTTCTTTTTTGGTCTGGAGCACATGGCTTTCATTTCTACCAAAAAATACCTTAAATACTGATTCAGTAGTTAACAACACTTCTGGACACTGTTAACATAGGGCTTCCTTTTGACACAGTAGATTTTTAACTGGCATTTGTGGGTGTAACTACGTATTGTACTTGACAATAGGTTGTAGGTTTGCCAAAGTAGTCCTGAGCCCATCTGGTGAAATTACTTATATATAAATGAAGGTTTTTGATTCAATTCCAGCTGAGGGATCAGAGATCACGGTAGTTCAGCTTAGGTTTGTGTCATCTGCATCAACCTTTTGTCATAATTTACTCTTTTATTTCATTTATTGACTACAAAGAAGGATAGAAGAATTGAAGAATGTTGAAAAGCAGCAGCCATTGACTTCCATAGTGTTCTTTGTTCCTACTATAGATGTCAAGGGCTGCTGTTTTCCATTCAGGATATCTCATTTTGTGTTTAACAGCAGAAAGACATTTAAAAAAGTTTAGATCAACCGGTCACACTTTATTTTGATGGTCAATTTGAGTATTAATACACTGTCTGCTTAATATCTGTTGATACAGACATTCAACAGACATTTAACTGACTATAAGAAACGTTGCAAGTACATGTCAACTTACACTAAACCTAACCTTTACTCAAATTCAACAAACCGACCATCAAAATAAAGTGTGACCGAACCACTTGACTATGAGGAAATTGTGACGGAATGTTAATTATTATTTTTTTTAACTCTCCCTTTAACTTCAATTTCAGGTTTCAAACAGAGATGGAGGATCAACTATGTATGCTGATAATAGCTAATTAATTAGCATTTTACCATTTGCAAATTAGCATATGATTATTATAAAGCTCTCAAGAATGTTAATTCTTATCCGTCCATTGCTGATCATGTTTCGTTACAAGACTTGTGAAAAATCTACTAAAATTGAACTATTCAATACATTTGTGTTTTGTTTTGATAATTTAATGGATATTTTGATGTGAGTTTTAATATAAAAAAATAAAATCTGTTAGGGGGACAGAACTCGAAAAAATATGTTTATTTGGTAAAGGATGAAAATTTGTGAAACAAACAACATTTCTTATGCGTTGGTAAAGGACAAAAATGAGTAAAGGATAACATCAACAACATCATAAAAACACATAAAAAATACCCAACAGCTTGTTCAATTTTTAATTTGTGTTAATGTGAGCGTGTATTAAAAATGACAGTGATCTAACTACAGTTATTATCTGAATACATTAATAAATAAATTACATCCTCTATAGATGACAGTTGACAATGCCTATTTGAATAAATACATAAAGAAGTAAAATGCAAAACAGAAAAAAAAGATCCAATGAAGATCAAGTTCCAGTGAACTATATTCAGAATTCTCTATGATGCCTTTAGGCCCATAATTATGTAAGCATTCTGGTATTACTGGGTGTCAGTTTCTCTCTGCACATGGTGAGCTAGCAGAATATGACAGCATCTGAAATACACAATTAAGTTAAAGGATTGTTCCAGTTTAGGTAAAACAAAAGTATGATTATGAAACCCAAAAGTAGGAAAAAGGACAGCCTTTAAAGGTTTTTAAAGGATTAAGTGATGTAAAATAATTAAATGGTTTGAATAAATTTGAGAGTTGGCCTATTTATGCTCAGTAAAGGCATGGCTTAGGTTACGATTGGAAAGTAAACATAGGTATTTTAGGAAAGAAATCATTTCTTTGACCGTTTGTTTAGTTGATGGTTGAGGTCCTTAAAATGCACACAGCACATTTTGCTAACGTTGCTACTTCACCAATGTTACTTTAGAGCTAGTATTTGAATGATTCTCTAGCGTAATGTCTAAAATGATGACAAAACAGGTGTTTTTGTTGACATTTTAAGATTATAAGGCTAACCGGCTTAAAATTCCATCAGTCTACAGATTTTTTCCAGTATTTCTCTGTTGCAATTGGGAGATCACAATAATTAACCCAAAAAAAGGCAAAGCAACACAAACACTAGTAGATTTTTGTTATGTCTGTGATAAGGAAATATGCTAAACACATAGGTATTTCTTCTTTCTGTTTACTGAATTAGTCTGCCGTAGCAAAAAAGATTGATGAAATAGAAGGCCAACGAAAAAGTAACTCAGGATTACACAAAGAGTGGCCAACACAAAATAAATACATTCCAAATTTGTGAATC